AGAAGTCTGGGTTTTCAAATATTAAATATTAACCTTCATTTTTATACTATTTTACGAATTTTCTTACTATAAAAGGAATTTTTTTTTTAGTAGACATGGAAACTCAGAACTGAATTTCTTAGAAAATTAGTTCTAGTTTTTCCTGTCACTTCTCAGTTTTATTGCTTATAAAACAGCCTTTTCTTTTGCTGAACTAGATACCCTAGTTCCTTGCTGAAAGATTATTTTAACTAAAAACAAAAGCCAAAACACTGATGTTAGAAAATTAGGACTTCTGTGGGGTGAGGTATCCCTTACCACTTGCTGGAACTTGTTTACATTTTCTTGAAGTGTGTTAAGTAGAAAACTGAAGATCCTTTCCATGTTCTGGGTTAAGGTTTGCTGGATATCCCTTCTTCTTTGAGGGGGAAGTGTCTGAAAGGTCACTACGTCCTCTGCCAGTCGCAAAAGGATGAACATCACTAATTCTGTCTGTGTTTCCTATACCAACAAAAGTAAGCTAATTAAAACATCTTTTTCATTATAGGTATGCCCAAAGGCTATTTTTTGTTGATGAAACAAACAACGATAAAAAACAAACCCTAAAGTTTATCCCAAGAACAAGTATACTGAATTCATATAGCTGTATTTCATACCCCTTGTTTGGAAAGAGTGTCCAATTCTATTAGCATGTCAGGCCAGTGCTGTGGCCACTCTCGCTTGATCATTTCTACTACAATTCGAGACAAAACATCTTTAATATGGTTCTCCTCTTCCAAAATGTTTAATGTTCCCTGAAAAAGAACAAGAGATATTAAGAGGTCTGCAACACTGAATTCCAGGAAAAAAAAAACTGGGAGTAGAAGTGTACAAAACTCATCAGCATGCCTGCTTTTAAACCGAACAAACAGACCTGTTTTCCATGTCTTAGTCACTTGTCCTGCATTCTCACTAACCATTACTCCCACTTAAAGCTTAAGTGGGGGTTGCATCAGCTAATAAAGTGGCTGTCACACAGAGCAAGGAAGTCATCATTGTTCTTTGTTACAAACTGAAGAGACTTCCATATTGAATGTTTCATTTTTTTTAGAGGCCAGGGTGGAAGAGTATAGAAATAAGGAGTACATTGAGAGTTTGCTAAAACGGGAAGGTATGGAGGAACAATTGAATATTTTACCAATAGTTCTAATATTAGAAGATATATAAAAACCAAAACTGGGTGTCTCTTCTGAAGTACGATGTCAAGACTAATGAATTATAACTTCTATCGTTTCCCCAGAACTAGCAAAACAGAAGTTCTAGCTAGCTAAGTTAATTAATGATTTTGAAGGGAATTTTTTTTCCCTATATAAGGCATTAGACTTTGGGGATGAAAAGGGTAGGAACTCTACCTTTCACACCCTTTGCAAAAAAAAAAAAAAAGAAGAAAACAAATTCTGTATGTTTTTCATCACTAGTATAACACAGTAGTTTGGTCTGGAATAAAAGGAAACAAAGCGGATAGTGTTTCAACCTAATTTAGATCTAAGAATCTCATTCATTTATTTGCTGAAAATGTTTAATCTCCTCTGCCCTGTCCTTATAATTTTAAAAATAGAAGTCAACACATAAGAGTGATTAATTAAACCTAGTAAGAGAAATGTGATGAATTATGATTTCTTGTGATGGTGGTTCTTTTTACCTTGAAGGTAATAGTTAACATTACACAAAGCGTGCTGTCTGACCTATGTAGAAACAGTGAATTTTTACACAAATGCTACATTGAAGAAGTCACATTTTGTCTAAACTACCTTGGAAACAAAAGTCTTCCACCACCCATTCCTTACATTTGCAATCAGCTCCATGACACTGTTCTTCAGATAGACCTTCTCCAATCGAGACATGCTGTTCCACCGAAACCTGGCCACCAAAATGCACAAAGTCAACAGAACCACATTAGAAGTCTTCTCTGGAGTTGAAGAAAAAAAAAAGGAAGTCTTCTCCTCACATGAGAATAGCTTTGATTCCTGCATTAGATTATGCTGGTGACTTCATTAAGAAATTATACTTTTTGATTTTGTGCGCTTCAAAGAATGCACAAAAACAGTCCACAGTTAACTAATACTACCAACAGAAAAATTCTTGGGACAGTTTTACATATAAGTGGTCCATTAACTGGAATTGACAAAGGATTTGTGCCACAACTGGCTTTTCCCATGACTTTATTGATAGGCCAGAAGCAAATATACATCTACACAACTGCAAGAATGTAGCTGCTTTTCAGAAAATACAATCTTGAGGGCTGGCTCATGGCTCACTCGGGAGAGTGCGGTGCTGATAACACCAAGGCCATGCGTTTGGATCCCATATAGGGATGGCTGGTTAGCTCACTGGGTGAGCGTGGTGCTGACAACACCCAGTCAAGGGTTAAAATCCCCTTACCGGTCAACTTTTTAAAAAAAAAGAAAACATAGTCGTGATACCACTAACTCTCTTTCTGTGCTTGCTTACAAAATGATAGCACAATTCCAGAAACACTGTGGCTAAGTCTTAAAAGCTGACCCTTCTGATAGGTTTTGAGGGAAGGAGATTCAAGTTAGGAGTTTTCTGTTATTCTCCTATAATCTTACTTCCAATGTGCCATTCAAAGAAAGCACACACACAAACTTAAAAAAAAAAAAAAAGGCACAGTGCCTAACCACAGGTTTGTTTACCTATATATCACACTATTCTAAAAAGGTTTTGAGGTCTGCTGGCATATGATAGCTCAATAAATGCTGACTGAATGACTAGCAGTTATCAGTTAATATTTGTTGAATGCTTAACATGCACCAGGCACTTAACGTGGATAAAGAAACTGAAGAGGAGAAAGGTTAAGTCCTGAATGGGAGCTCCTGTGAGATTCTGATAACATCTTGGGGATCATTCCTTTCTTCTTGGGGATTGCTCTTTTCCACTCACCTAAAAAGCATCTCTATAGGTTACATAAGAAATACAGATTAGTTCTCTCATAGACTTCAGTGGTAATGTCCAAGGGCTCCTTACTTGACAACATGTTCCAGGATCTGAAGACCAAAATGTCTGACGATGGCAATTTGTGTTTTCTCGGCCAACCTTAAGCCACAGGGGACACAGATAGGGCATTTTTCTTTAAACTCTTCACAAAACTGAAAGAAGAAAAGTTAGTGTTTCCTTTGGGAGTAAGAGAGCGTGGGGATTACAAAAACTGCATCTTAAGAAATTCCAACCTGAACTATATTTTTAAGTTGTAAAACCAGATCAATAATACATTAATAAAAAAACTGACAAACATTCCTTCCACTTTGATTGTTCCAGATTTTCCATGCTATCTATGACCAATAGCAGCGTTACTAGTGTTGAACAGAAATTGGACCTAAAAGAGTAAAAAATTGTTGGAGATACTCTCCTGCAGTATATAGGAATGAAATGATAATTTTTAGGATTTGTTTTAAAAACCTTTGGGGGGGAAAGGGATAGAAAAATGTGGCAAAATCTTTATAACTGCTGAATTTAGATGACATGTATACGCAGGATCATTGTAGTATTCTTTCTACTTTTGTGTTAAATAACCTAATAGAACCCGATTGTTTCTGATTCCAAACCCTGTGGCATACTCCTATATATTGCAGACTCCCCAAATGGCGCTGATTCTTCATTTCTCACAACCCACATACACTGATGTTGGAATAAGCTCTTATTGTATTAGCATCCCCAAATTGCAACACACGAGTCAGTCCCAGGAGCAGAGCATCTGAGACTCAAGAAAACTACTTTCAGGAAATCAAAATGCCTTTGTAAAAATGCAAAGCAAGTGGTAGAAGTTCATCTTTGCGCAAAATAGCCTAAGAATATCACACACTAAAAAACATGGGGGGAGGGTATGTGTAAGAATTAGCCCAGAAATGCCCAGGACACAGACGAGGGTTAGCTAGAGATGTCTGTCTGTAAGTAAAGGGTCACTAGGCGGGCTGTAACTCGGTTAGGACAGGTCAGGAGAGTGGTTCAGCAGAGAAGCGTTTAGTGAAGGAGAAACCATAAAGAATGAAGCTAGTGTTGGACCGGATCTGCACGTGCGCCAAGGGAAGGCGAGGGGATGTGGGATTTGGGGGATGAAAATGGGTGCAGCGGGCTGTGGAGGAGATACGGCCAAGAATGAGCAGAAATGGGGGAAGGGGTAGGACAAGGCCGTGGGAAGCAGTTAGGGACTGATGCGTCCTGGGCGAAGGGAAGGCACGGCGAGCAAAGAAGGCGGGGGTGGGAAGAGGCGCGGAGGGCCGCAAGGGAAAGGCCCCCGGGCTTGGGGAAGGGAAGTCCAGGGACCGCCCGTGGGCGGAAGACCACCAGAGTTAGGGGCGGCGCCCGGACGGCCAGGGCTAGGGGAGGGTCTCGAGGCGGGCCCAGGGCGCCAGGACCCCAGCTACCTTGAGGGCTTCCAGCCGGTAACGCTGGGTGGAGCTGGGGTCCATCATGACCGTCACCGCTTTCACCAGCTGCTCGCACAGCGCGTTCACTTGATCCATCGCCATGGCTAGCGCCACACGCAGCGAGCGCGCCCCACAGCCGTCCCGGGAGCACGAGGCACGGACGGCTCCTTTGGCCGGACCACACGTTGGTACCCAGCCACGGCAGGCTGGGGGGTGGGGAGCGGGAGGAGGAGCGTGAGCCGCAGAAGCTGGAGCCGGGAAGGAGCCGGCGCTGCGCACGCGCCCGAGCCGCTACTGCGCATGCGCTCGCGGAAGTGGCGGCTCCCCTGTGACGTGGTTCTGGATGGGCGGACTGTGAGACGGAAGGGCCGCGGTGCGCAGGCGCTTCCATGGCCCTTCCCGGCGCGCGCTGTCTGACCTCAGTCCCGGCGGGCTCGCTGCTGAGCTCGCAGCGTTTGGCAGGTTGCCACTGGGCTGTGTGAGCGCTTGCCCGGGCAGGATCCTTTGCAACCCCTACTCCATTTCTCCGCCGTCACGGGGAATGCATTTCTCTCGGAACCCACTGGCACGCTCCCGGAAAGGCGACAAGATATTCAAGGCCTTTTCAATTTCCTGTCAGTGAACATTGAGTCCGGCATCTCGAGCATCCGCGGTTGGCAGTTTTGCCAGGTCACCTTGGTAAGAAAATTTAGAGCCGTTCGGTATCACTGTTTCAGACTTTTCGTGTTACCTTGGATATTGGTTTTATGATATAGCAGTGACTAGTGACACATTCGGCCGAAATTACGTGAAACAAAACATGCTGAGAGATAAGACCCTGGTATTGTCTTCTAAGAAGATTTTTCTTTTTCTTTTTCTTTTTTTTTCTTTTAAAGATGACCGGTAAGGGGATCTTATTCCTTGACTTGGTGTTGTTAGCACCATGCTCTCCCAAGTGAGCTAACTGGCCATCCCTATGTAGGATCCGAACCGCACTCTCCCTGGTGAGCCACGGCCGGCCCCTAAGAAGATTTTTTTATAGAAAAAAATGGTATTTCCCCCTGTAGCTCTTAAACCTCCTTCACTTGTATTTATTTTTTCTGGACGTGTTATTACTTGATCGGCACCAAATTTGTTTTATGCAGATTGGGATAAGTCGAGATATTTAAAGACGAATTATTGCAGTTATTGAAGGTTCAGTTTTGATAATTTGCTAAGTGCTATTATGTATAAGATTTCAAAGTAGTGTAGTCCTTACCTGAAAGCAGAATTTTGGCAGGAAGTGTGTTTCGTTTTCCATCCGAATGAAGCGCTTGCTTTCTCCAGTAAATACGTGAACTGAAACCCTCAACAGCTTCATTATCTGTTAAAGTCTGCATATCTACTTTTTTTGACGTGTACTCAGTAAAATGTTTGCTGGACTTAAGTCACTGCTCCCTATTCTCCATTTCTGGTATTTCTATCTAATATGGTACTTACACGTTTTTTGTTTTTGTTACAATGCATTTGCTATTTTCTGGCTTTCTCTGTTCCAGTACTATAGAAAGCCACTTCAAGATAAAGGGATTTCTGACATGTTATGGTTTTAACTTATACATGTTTAGAGTATCACATTGTACCTGTTTTATGTGAGCGATCAATTGGATTTATAAGGAATTAATATCTTGACTACTCGAACTTTCTTAATTCTTTGCTTTCTTTCCACTAATCTTCTGGCTTTGTAGTTGCATAACACTTTTTTCAAGGTGAATGTTAATTTTTGAAAAACTTTTTTTTGAATACAGTTGGGTTCTCACTCAACTGTATAACCTGTGTTTCTCATATTTAAATCATGAATTATTGGTGTTTTCATAAGTATCTTAATTACTTTAGGCCAGTGGTTCCCAATCTCCTGCATGTTGGAATTGTCTGGAGAGCTTTTATAAATGATGGTGCCCAGGTTACTCCCATACCAATTAAATTAGGATGCTTGGCGGTGGAAGGTTTGTTCTTCCAATCTTCCATCCATACCTTTATGTGTGTCTATCTGTGAATAAAATAGTAGTGTTTTCTTTTGTGTTTAAAAATTTATGTGAAGGGAGGGCTGGCCCATGGATCACTTGGGAGAGTGTGTTGCTGATAACACCAAGGCCACGGATTCGGATCACTATATAGGGATGGACGGTTATCTCACTTGGGAGAGCATGGTGCTAACAACACCAAGTCAAGGGTTAAGATCCCCTTACTGGTCATCTTTTGGGAAAAAAAAAATTTACAGGAAGGGGTAGAAAATGGCCATTGGAGAACACTACAAAGTAATTGTTATAGGCAAGATCCACTGCTGGATGCTGTAGTGGTTGAAAGTTTGAAGAGAAACAAGATATTCGCAAAGTTTCAAAGTTTCTTCTCTCAAGATATTTATTAGCTACAAAAGGAAAAATAATAACTTTTCAGTGAGAATCCTGGCAAACACCACCTTAACTAATTGATCATGGGTAACATCACCAGTAATAAGACATATTCATGATATCATGTATGCTTCTCCCATATAATACACTGAGAAGAACACACCACTTCCATGGTGTTCTTGCCACAAATGCATAATCTCAACCTAATCATGGGAAAACATCACACAAATCCAAATTGAGACATTCTCAATAGAACTGACTAGTACTTTTCAAAAGTGCCAGGGTCATGAAAAACAAAGAAAGACTGAGGAAGTGTTACAGATTGAAGGAGACTAAGGAGACATGATGACTAAGTGCATTGTAGGATCCTAGATTGGATACTGGAACAGAAAACGTACATTAGTGTAAAAATGGTGAAATCTAAATAAAGTATGTAGTTGAGTTAATAATAATATATCAATGTTTGTTTTATAATTTTGATAATTGTGCTATGTAAAGTGTTAACATTAAGGGAAATTGGCTGTAGGAGAACCCTACTATTTTTGCAACTTTCTGTAACTATTTAAAAATAAAAAGTTAAAAAGAATTTACATGAATGCTATGATGTTATATTTCATTTTCTGTTTTTCTTTTCCCTGAACTCAAGATCTATCAACTAGAGTAACCGTTGGCTCTCTCCCCTAATGATGTACATTGTGATTTTAATTTGCATTTCCACATGACTAATGATGATGAACCCATTTTCATATTCTTGGCTATTTGTACATCTTCTTTTGTGAAGTGATCAGTTCTTTCAGGGATGAGAATTTTAAAAGCTTTTAATACTTATTACCTTTGTAAAATTGTACCAGTTTATTCTCATGCCAACAGTATATGAAAATGCCTATTTTCTTATTAGTTTCCATGCTCCCATGCTCATGGTAACTTATCAAGGAAAGAATGAAAATATGGTTTTCCCTGGCATTTTGGGTTATGTATCTTTCTAACTGTCCATAAATGTTGTCTTACAGAAAAATGGTTACTGGACAGGATCGGGTGGTTGCTCTAGTGGACATGGATTGTTTTTTTGTGCAAGTGGAGCAGCGGCAAAATCCTCATTTGAAGAATAAGCCTTGTGCAGTCGTACAGTACAAATCATGGAAGGGTGGTGGGTATGTATCATTGCTATTATTGCAACTGTCAACTATTATTTTATTTTTTATTTCTTTAAAATTTTGTTTATTTATTTATTTGTTTTTTAGTTCTCACTTATGAGTGAGGACATGTGGTATTTCTCTCTTTTTTTAATAATTTATTTTATTTATTGAATCAAAATCGATTATACATATTTTGGGGGTTGAACATTGAGATATGTTGATTAAATCAGTATTACTAGCATATGTATTGTTACAAATTGTAATTATTCTTTATGTCCCTTGTCCAGTCTCTCCCCTTCTCCCATTCCCTCCCCCTTCAACTATTATTTTAATCTGTGGGAATACCATGGCACTGTGCTAGGTCCTATTTTTGAGATTTCTGAACTGCTGTGTTTGGGATTGAATGGTGGCATCTGTGGTCAAAAAGTTTCTCATATGTTTATAGCCTAATGGTGTTAAATTTTAATTGTTTTTACTTGTGATCATGCAATATTTTTTCTCTTCCTTCTTTTTTCTAACTTTAGAATAATTGCAGTGAGTTATGAAGCTCGTGCATTTGGGGTCACTAGAAGCATGTGGGCAGATGATGCTAAGAAGTTATGTCCAGATCTTCTACTGGCACAAGTTCGTGAGTCCCGTGGGAAAGCTAACCTTACAAAGTAAGAAAAAAAGTTGCTTAAAGGGACATAGAGCAGTTGGAAATAATATTCTATGAGTCTAAGAACTGGTATTTCAAATTTGTTCTGTGTAAATAACATCTGAAAAAGTTCCCTTTGCTCAGCCATCTTTTCTCTATGAAATGAAAATAGATTTTGATATTGTGTTTCAGGAGCAGTTCAGAATCATTATAAACTATAACAATTGCTGACTTTGACATCCATTTAGTTTCCTTATTTGTTTAAAGATTGGTTGTTATAATTAAAACTTAATACCAATTCCCATGTTTTCGGTCCGAAAGTCACTCCTGTGAAACTAGGAGTTTTTCCACGCACAGCTGAGGTTAAGCTGACAGTCTAGCGCAATATCTAGAATTGTCAGAATTGAACAATCTCAAAGGAGATTCTTTGTTTTTGAATTGAGCTTTCTCTCCTCAAATATTAGAAATTTAGCCTCGAAATGGGAGCCATGTATAGGCATAGTCAAGTTGGAGGCAGGCACAAGCCCCATGAATTATATCACATGCCAAGCACTGTGTTAAGCTTCCTATAGGCAATATCTCTTCTAAGTCTCACATTGTATAAGGTAGGTTCTAGTATTACTCCCCCTTCACAGATGAGGAATCAAGTTTAGAAGTTAAATAATTGAAGTTCACACAAAGGATCATACCTATTTTTTCAGATTCTAATATCCACATTCTAATTGTACACTATACTGTGTGGTGTGGTATGCGGATCCTGCTTTGACTTAGAACTTGAAATATTTCTCTCTTCCTCTCTTTTTTTTTTTTTTTTTGGTGGCTGGTCAGTTTGGGGATCCGAATCCATGACCTTGCTTTTATAAGGCTGCACTCTAACCAACTGGGCTAACTGGCCAGCCCAGAACTTGAAATATTTCTGAATTTACCTGTGAATTAGAAGTCTAAAGGTGGAGTGGTATAGCTAGAGAAGACAGATTTGACTAAAGAGTAATAGTTTAACCCCAAAGCAGAATTAACTCAACTAATGCACATATGCTACATTGCATTGAATAGAATTTTATGCTAGTGTAGACAGTATAATTTCCCTGAAATATATATTGTTGACTTCAAAGTGTGATTTGGAAAAGCTACACTCTACCAACTTTAAACTGGATCATTTACTTTTAAAATCATCAAGTAATGAACAAAGGCAATTTTAGAAAATTTAAGAGTAAGTGTATAGACCAGAGATCAAATAAGACCTGGCAATCTAAAATTATTATTTTTATTAACATGAAATACCAAGTTATAAAAATAAAAATATTGCTCAGTTTAAAAAAAAATACTATTTGTAGAAACATATATACATATACAAATACTTTGTATAAAGTTTTAAAACTATCCTTAAAAATACTTTTGGAGTAATTTGCTCAAGAAGCTATGAAGAAACACCAACTACTGCAATGGAGTATCCTTTCTGGCTCTGTTTGTGTATGAGCACATTGGCTCTCTTTTTTTTCTTTCTTTGAGGTGTGACGATCTTCTTCCTAGCCCAAATAATGATTAAAAGAAAAAAAGCCAGATACTTTTCTAATTCTCTTATTGGAGAATGTTTTGGAACAATAATTATACTAGTTTTTATAGGTGTCTTAGTGAAGAGGTACAAATACTTCCATTTTTATGTTAAATATAATAGGTTCAACAGGAACAAAGAACTTTAAATTACATAGCAGATCCAAAATAAAGCAAAGAAATATCTGCATATTGTCATAGGAATAGAAAGCTAGCTATACAGCCAGAAGAGCTGCTTATTATGGCTCGAATAGAAGGTATATGGTGAGATTGGTAATCCCCTGAGAGAGGTTGTCTGCCTGCCCAGATGCATGACCACATTCTGGGCGCTTATCTTCAACTTGATAATTGGAATGTTAGTATTTCCAGAAGTGATTGGTTTGGGTATGTTTATGTGTGATGATGACCAATTCACATGTTAACCAAACTCACCATTGACTGAAGTATAAAATCTGTAGTCAGTTTGTTAATTTATAGTGAGAAATACTCTTCTGAGGAAGACCAGGTACTCTGGTTCACTGATGATTGCAGTGTTCTCTGTAAGTTATCTCTTATTTGAAGACAGAATTAGAGACTGTGTGGTGGATATATGAAAATAACAAAAAGATAGGTGATCATAGTAAAATATTTTCTAGTTAAACTAGTTTGGCATTTCCTTCCTCTTTAGAAAGATCCTTGTCATGCAGATATATTCATGGTCTGGATGCTTTGGTGGTGCAAGCATCGGTCTGAAAATGTTTGCCTCCGTGGTTCTTCCTTTTCTTTCCTTCTGTTATTGACTGTATGCCTGCCTATTGATCCCTTCAGTTGGGTTACACTGTCTAGTCCCCATTAAGCCACTTGTCTCTTACATATATTATTGTTCATTATGGGAGGGTGGGGATATGGCCAACAATCTCAAGGTTGCCTCCATTTATTTCCTGCATGTATGATCCTTATACTTCATAGATATCGGGAAGCCAGCGTTGAAGTGATGGAGATAATGTCTCGTTTTGCTGTGATTGAACGTGCCAGCATTGATGAGGCTTACATAGATCTGACGCGTGCTGTCCAAGAGAGACTACAGGAGCTACAAGGTCAGCATATCTCAGCAGACTTGCTGCCAAGCACTTACATTGAAGGATTTCCCCAAGGCCCTACAACAGCAGAAGAGACTGTTCAGAAAGGTACTTCCATAGCGTCATATTGCTTCTGCTTCCTTCCTTTGAAACCTGCTTTGCTTGGTCATGCTGATTATTCTTGGAATGATTAAAAGGAACATAAACTACAGCCTGAATGAATCACAAGGACTCACATGGAAAGATATACAAATTCTCTTATCTTTCCAGGTATATGGATGTTGAGAAGCTGTGAAATCTTTATGAAAGTAAATTTCTCTTTAGCTATAACTAGGGCAGGTTAGTGTTATCAGTAGAAGGCAGAAGTCAGACTGAGCACTTCTGTCATTTGTAGGTTAATTATATAAATTGTTGTAACTTGGTTTCTGAAGGGTGAGCTTTTTTAAGGGGGATCTTGGGCATGGAGAGTTGAGTTATTCAAAATTTCTATTCAGTTCATAGCACATTGACATCAATGGGCTGTGCAAGGCCCCTCTTGTTTTATTTTACTTCTTTCCCCTTCATAGTGATTCCCCCACTCCATCCCCTCCCCACTTACCTTTTGGTACTCACTGATGTATTTGATATATCTTCTTAGCTATGTACTCATGTATATCTTTATAAATTATACAGTATTGCTTTGTATATACACTTTTTAATTACAAGATGATATTGTGCTATTATAGAACCCTTTCTTTTTAAAAATTTTCTTTCAATGGTGATTTTAGAGATCTATCTGGCTACTTTGTATATACACTTTTTAATTACAAGATGATATTGTGCTATTATAGAACCCTTTCTTTTTTAAAATTTTCTTTCAGTGGTGATTTTAGAGATCTATCTGGCTGTACTATAGATGAATAAAATGAGTTAAAACAATCCAACAAAAAAATAGACAAATGATTTGAACAGGCACTGCATTAAAGAAGATATCTAAATGATCAAAAACATAAAAGGATGTTCAACTTTGTTAACACCAGGGACATGCAAACTGAAACCACAATGTGATATTACTACACACCTATCAAAATGGCTAAAATGCAAAAAAGAAAAAAGCAAGTGTCAACAAGGATGTTGAACAACTACAACTCTCTTATTGATGCTAGTGGATTATAAATTGTTAACCATTTTGGAAAACCGTTTGACAGTATCTTCTCAAGCTGAGTATAGGCAAACCCTACAACTGAGCTGGTTGGGAAAGAACCTTTGAGGAGAAAGATACATATTAGTTTGATTTCAGTAATGTTTAGTTTGAAACTATAATGAAAAATTCAAGAAGAGTTATTCTGTAGGGTTAGAATTTAAGTAAGTTCGGGGATAGAGATAAAGATTTACATATACTAAGCATAAGCAAGTTAAAACATAAAACAGTACCAGTTCACCAAGAGAAAAAATATATAGAGAAGAGGAGAATGTTGCTCAGTACCCACAGTTAGGGTGTTAGAGGAGGAAGAAGGAAAGGAGAGAAAAAGCAGTTATCAGTAGTTGGAAAATATTTCCTTCTATGTGCTTATCTTCCTTATCTTCTCTATATATGTGAACCTTTATTCTACCTCTCCAAGATACTTTGGATATATTTTCTTACCTTGTTCATATCTCATTACTGCCTCTTTAAACCAGCATGGCCTTATTTCCTATGTACTTAACACTCTTGCTGTATTTATGCCTGTTTATAATTGTGAATTGTGAATAGTTCTAAATTCACAACTGTGAATAGTTCTAAATTCACAACTGTGAATAGTTCTAAATTGGATAGTAAGATATTTTCAAGGCCCTGAGTCCAAAGTTACATCTATCTTAAAACAGTTTGTCAGGAGCATAAATCTAGTGCCTCTGATTGGATTTTAAGCTACTCAACTGGAACCAGCCTCTAAAAATATGTAAATGCTAATTTAATTTTATATTGAAGCTTGAGTTAATTCTGTATATTTTCTAATTAAATAGCATAATAGGCTTCTTGGGGAGGATCAAGGGGTAATAGGTGGAAGAAAATTCAAGAGAACTAGGGAGAGAAAACATGCTTTTAAATTACTGTTCATGAATGATATTTACACAGGATATTTGTTGGACATTAGCACGTAAGATTTGGCCTATGCTGAAACTAAGGCTACTGGAATTGGTATGAAGGAGAAATTTATCTCTACTGTAATTGGTCTTCTAAACTGACTGCCATTTTTTGTGAAGACCTATATATCTAAAGTACCAGAAATCTAAGCATTTCTGCATTAGATAACACAACTAAATAACTAATTCTTTAAACTGTCTAAGTGTGACCTCTCAACTTTTTTCAGATGATATGCGACAACAAGGCTTATTACAATGGCTTGATTCTCTTCAGATTGATAACATCACCTCTCCAGACCTGCAGCTCACCGTGGGAGCAGTGATTGTGGAAGAGATGAGAGCAGCCATAGAGAGGCAGACTGGTTTTCAGTGTTCAGCTGGAATTTCACACAATAAGGTGAAGGCTAATACTAAATTTCAAAGAGAAACATTTATGTCTTTAGTTAAATACAGCAAGGATAGATATTTAAATTGAGGCATTTAAATTATTACACACATACTTTGAAATAGGTTTGTACTTAAAATTCATTTTGAGGCTCAAATTAAGCCTAAGTAATTTTTTAACATGGGAATTGACATTGAATATGTACTTTCCTAAGAAGCAGGTGAAAAGTTACAAAAAATGCTTATTTCTATAGTTGCAGCCAAAGTACAGTTGGCCCTCCATATCTGTGGGTTCCACATCTACAGATTCAACCAACTGCAGATCATAATATTCAGGAAAGGGTGGCTGGTTAGCTCAGTTGGTTAGAGCACAGGTTCAGATCCCCCTCACCGGCCAACTGTCAAAAGCAAAAATTTGGGAGCAAAAAGGGCAATAAAAAATAATAATACGATAATAAAAATAATACAAATTAAAAACAATACATTATAACAACTACTTACATAGTATTTACATTGTATTAGATATTATAAGTAATCTAGAGATGATTTGAGGTATACAGGAGGATGTGCATAGGTTACATGCAAATACTATGCCATTTCTTTTTTTTTTTCCTGATGCCATTTTATATAAGGGACCTGAGCATCTAAGGAGTTTGGCATCTGCAGTGGAAGAGGGGAGATGTCCTAGAACCAATGCCCTGTGGATACTGAGGGACAACTATATTTCCTTAATGACTGAACTATCTATATAAAGGAGGAACCTAGTCTTTGGATATTTATTTATTTATTTGTTTGTTTGTTTGTTTAATTAATTTATTTATTTAAAGACCAGTAAGGGGATCTTAACCCTTGACTTGGTGTTGTCAGCACCATGCTCTCCCAAGTGAGCTAACCGGCCATCCCTATATAGGAATCTGAACCTGTGGCCTTGGTGTTATTCATACCATACTCTCCCAAGTGAGTCACAGGCCAGCCCTAGTCTTTGAATTTTTATATATTAACCTATTTCTTTTATTTTCACTTGCTGAATATTTTTGTGTTGACTTATTTTTATGTGGAGTTACCTAGGTGTTTTGTGCTTTTACCTATTCCCTCTTTTCTAAGGAGAGCAATAAGAAATAGAATAGTAAAATTTTATCAATTTGGACCACTGTTTTAATTTAAGGAACACACAGACACACACACACACAGACACACACACACACACACACACAAGAAATGTAACATTCAAGAAATGTAGCATTAAAAAAAAAAATTAGGTAACAGACAATTCTCAATCAAGCAGAATAACTAGTTTTCTTTTTAACTGAATAAAGTCCAGCCAGGACCTTCAGCTATTTCTGATCAAGGCTCAATAATTGGGCAGTGGCTGAATATCCATAATTGCTACCTTCTTTCCCTCCCTTCAATAAGGGGAAATTTGCCAAATTGCCCAGCAGAGTTTTTTAGGTTTTTTTTTTCTGGTTGGCTGGAGGAAAGGGAAATAATAGTCCCAGTATAATTAAAACTAGTCTAAATGTTGCCTAGTAGAAGTTCCTAAAGAATCTCTCTAATGAATTTAAAGAGTGAGTTTATAATTTTCCTACCAATTATAATTTGTGAAATGAAGCCATTGAAGTGACTGAAATTCCAAGAGAGTTCTTAGGGCTGGCAGATTAGCTCACTTATAGCATGGTGCTGATAATACCAAGGTCACAGGCTTGGATTGCTTACCAGCCAGCCACCAAAGACAAAACAAAACAAAAACAGAGGTCTCAGGGATCTAAATTTTTTCACTTTTAAATGTTATTTATAAATAAGAAAGTGCTTGCTATTAGAGGATAATTTTGAGCCCAATCTTTATAACAGATACTAAATTATGGTAATGTATATTAAAGTGGCGAGTCAAGATGGACTAACCATTAATGAAGAAATTTAAATAAATGGGTAGGTAAACAGGTTTGTTTCAGCATTTTCATATGGACACACTGAGAAATACATTTTACCTGAGTATCTTCTGTAGCTTCTCTACTTTTTAAACCTCTTGAAGTGGGAGGACTTCAAGGAATAGATGGGAGAGGAAAAAAATGACTAGATGAAAACTGAGAATGGAAGAGTTGTTGGAAGAACAATGAGGACAATGATAATGGGTCATATTTTCCACTGAGGATGTTGTGGGACATTGAGTTTTAGAGATACCTTGAGTTTCTGGTTTTGTGTTTGTTTTTAGTGCGGAAATCATTAGTTACAGCCCTTAAGCTGTCTGTGCTCTGTGTGTGTGTGTGTGTGTGTGTGTGTGTGTTAATATTGGCAGTAATGAGGTTTTTATACTTTCCATGCTTCTAGGTCCTAGCAAAATTGGCCTGTGGACTAAACAAGCCTAACCGCCAGACCCTGGTCTCACATGGGTCAGTCCCACAGCTCTTTAGCCACATGCCTATTCACAAAATGTAAGTATTCAAGGAGCACCTTAAATTTCACTCATATCCATGTGAATACACTCTCTGGTTGTAGTTTCTCTGTTCTTTATGAAAGATTGGAGCCAGAGAAAATAGGTACCAGGCTGGAGGGAGACAACACAGAAAATTTTGAAAAACACACTGAGAGCCTTCAATTCTGGATTATCTGTGGCAGATACCTAATCCTGAATTTTAAGAAAATGAACTGAGTTTTAGCTATACGTTTAACTTTCCTCTAGACTTTTTACTCAAGTTTGTTATTAATAACAAATAAAGAGGAATTTTATTTCTTTTCTTTTCTCTAATATCAAATCAAGGTCTTCAAGTCTGCTGAATTGCTCCCAAACTAGACATGAGAGAAGCGAAATCAAGTGAATAACTAGGTTGTGCCTATCAATTATATATCCTTGACAAGGGCTTATAATATTGTTGAAGGGACAAGATATAACAGTTCAAAGCAGCAGTGAACGTGCTATCACAACTGCATATGAGTAATTGTTAAACAAATTGTGCAGGTAATTACCAGAGTTCACAAAAGAAGAGAGTAATTTGAGAAGGATTTACAAAAAAGTCATGGAATTTGCTTTTGAGGTTTGGCAGCATTTGGAGAGTCAGAAGAATAGTAAAACAATACTGATTTGGAGTGTTTTTTAGTACAAAGAGGGGAAAGTATAAGGTATTTTCAGTGAACTGGGACATAAACTAGTTTAGCTAGACCATATTGAGGAAGATAAGTAATGGAAACAGACTCAAAAGATAAGTTAAGGACAGTTTATAGGGAACTTCAAAGGCCAGGCTGAAGAATTTTGACCCTATTCTTAAGTATAAAAGGTTTTAACCATGGAGGGGATTCGTTTTGGGTTTGGAATTTTAATTCCCAAATGAGACAGTAGGTCTTGCACAATTGAAAGTTTTATATACAGTTGACTTGATAGCTAATCAATGACTTTAACCTTTTGTTTATGCTATTGTTAATCTTCCCTGGTCCTGATTCCCAGAGTATCTGAATTCCTAGAATCATCTAGGCTTATGCTGGAAAATTAAGAGTCTACAAGCCAATACATACTCTCATTTTCCCTGAACCTTTTGTAGAGCTACTTGCAGAAGCAGAATGTTTTATGTTTCCTGCTAACTAGATATTTATGATGTGACTTATACATTGTTTGTATCCTTTGTTATTAGTCGCAGTCTTGGAGGAAAGCTAGGGGCCTCTGTCACTGAAATCCTAGGGGTAGAATACATGGGTGAACTGACCCAGTTCACTGAATCCCAGCTCCAGAGTCATTTTGGGGAGAAGAATGGGTAAGTGATTCATACTATCTTTCAATCATAACCTTTATGGAGATGCTAAGTTCAAATATAGAAAAAGGCATCTAGTAAAATCTAGATCTTTCTTTAGGTTAACATTTGTTCCTTGAAATAATTTTGCTGGTCCTTCTTATTTTAATAGATAGGAATTGTTATTTTGAAACCTGGTTATATACTATTACAGCATTTATGTATGCTAAGATGCTGATGTTCTCTTATAATCCTTGTGTTTAAGGCCCTATTAAGCACAAAAAAAACTTGGGAATTGGTGGCTCCCTTGGTACTTTTGGTGGCTTGCTTGGTACCTTTCCAAAAATAAAAATGATGACTTGGCTTTAAACGGCAGAACCAGTGTTGCTCTTTTTGACAGAACATAGCACTGGAATTCATTGGGATGGGCAGGGATTCTGTCTGAAGTCAGGAACACTTAATTTTGGACAAATTTTTCCTTTTTCATGAAAAAGGATAAAAGGGTAAGATAATATAGGTATTTTGTTTTCACAAAGAATAATTATTTACTTTCACCTTAAAGTTTTTTTGCTGGTTTTATTAGGTCTTGGCTATATGCCATGTGCCGAGGGATTGAACATGATCCAGTTAAACCCAGGCAACTACCCAAAACCATTGGCTGTAGCAAGAACTTTCCAGGAAAAACAGCTCTGGCTACTCGGGAACAAGTAAGCAAACATTCTTGACAGAACACTACCTCTTTTAAAGGAGTTAATGGGTAGGTTTTGGTAATTGTGGAAGGTTTAACAGGTTAGATGGGACCTTTATCCTAAAAAGTCTGAAAGGAATAGAAAGAAGTTCCTTTTTTTTTGGCAGCTGACTGGTACAGGGATTGAACCCTGGACCTTGCTGGTATCAGCACCACTCTAACTGGCTGAGTTAACCAACCGGCCCAAAAGAAGTTCCTTTATTGTGTTGAAAACTGACCAGTTTGTCTTGTGATTTGTTACTTTTTGCCCCTTTCTTCCATCTAAAAATAAATAAAATGGAACTGACTGAAGTTCAAAATGGATTTTCTCCAAATTTGGAAAGCCAAGAATATTATGCCTCCAGTTTGGGTCTTTTTGTGAAGGGCGGGTGAGCATGGAGAGAGGGTGGTCAGTGGATACAGAATTGTACATAGGAAGAATGGGATCTAGTGTTCCATAGCAATATAGGGAGACTACAACCAACAATAGGTGCTGTGCATTGAGATGATGTTGAATGTTCCCACACAAAGAGGTGACAAATGTTTGAGGTGATGAATATACTAAACACTCTGATATGATCATTGCACAGTATGAATGTACCCAAATATCATATTGTACTTCATAAACATATACAATTATCATTGGTCAATTAAGAAAAATAAAAGGAAAGAAAACCCAAGAGAAATAGAATAGTGGTTACCAGAGGCAGGGAAAGTGAGGGAGATGGGAGGAAAGATTGGTAGACTGGTACAAAGTTAACAGTTAGATAGGAAGAATTAAGTTCTGGTGCTCTAGGGTGACAATAGCTAATGGTATTATATTATATATTTCAAGATAGCCAGAAAAGAGGATCTTGAATGCTGTAACCACAAAGAAATGATAAATGTTTAGGTGATAGATACGCTAACTATTCTGATTGGATCATTATATGATACATGGATGTACTGGAATAATAAACTGTACCCCATAAACATGTACAATGAAAAAAATAATTTAAAAAAATTTTTATTAATATTGGTTTTTTACATTTTATGATGTTGCAGAGCAGTTGGGAGGGAGAGAGGGAGGGGAAAGGGGAAGGAAATGTGATGGAAAAGGAGGAAGGAGGAAGGGCGGGATTGAGGACTGTGGCACCCCCCACATTCCCACAGGGGAGATTGGGGGGCTTCCAGTGGTGGCTTGATCATTGCCAGGCTGAGTTCAGATGTCACGGGGTGTGGCAAAAACCCTTGCCTCACACTTCCCCAGCTTGGGAACCTGTGGCTCTTCTTGTTGCAGCTCAGCAGTAGTTGCTGGGGTGGTTGCTGATGTTGGGGGGGCATAACCGAGGTCCTCGGCCCCCCACAACCCAGGCTTAGGAGAGCCCAGGGTGCTTCCTGCAGTGGCTCAGTGGTCATCACTGGGCTGGCTGCGGAGGTGGGGGGGGGGGGCATGGCCAAGGCCCTTGGCCCCCTACTGCCCTGGCTCAGGAGAACCCGGGTCACTTACTGTAGCGGCTTGGTGGTCGTCAATGGGCTGGCTGTGGGTGTGGGGGGGAGGGCGTGACCAAGGCCCAAGGCTCCCCACCACCCTGGCTCAGGAGAGCCTGGGGTGCTTCCTGCGGTGGCTCAGTGGTCAGTGGTTATTGCTGCGGTGGCTGTGCTTGTCAGGAGGTGTGACCAAATCCCTTGGCTCCCACCCTCAGGACTAGCTGCGGGAGTCATGGGGCATGGCTAAGGCCCCCAGTCCTTCCCCCTTTCTGGTTTGGTAGCCCAGGGGACTTCCAATCCTTCTAGGTGTTATAGGTGTTCTTTGGTGAAATGAGACCTTTACTAGTTAGTATCAAACTTTGTCTTTGGTTGTGGGTACTCTGGTTTTTCTTTCACTTCTGTGTTGGATTATTTGCTATTCCCACCATTCAAACTGTGCTGGAACTAATTTGCTGTCCTTTGCTTACTTCTAAAACGGGGGGACTTCCTGTGGGGACTAGCACTTGAGCCCTGTGGGTGAGCTAAATTGCTGCTTTGCTGCTGATTCCCTAGGGAAGGCTTTTTGTGCAGCTCAGGTTTTAATGGTTGACTTTATAGGTACTTCTGGTTCTAGTGAAATCTGGTGCACCTGGGTTATATAGAAACACTGGTGGGCCTGAGTCTTTTCATCAAACCGCACCCTATGCAATTCTATATTCCTGACCAGTCTCCTCTGAGTGGTCCTGTGCTGATTGTGGGGCCGATCAGCTGTCCTTGTTGTGCCCCAGTGTTCCCCTGGTGGGCCCATCTCCCCCACTGCCCATGCTCCAAACACTTCCCATGGCATGGGCCGTGCTCCCGTCCCTTGCGATGACTCACCAGCCTGAGTGACTCCTTTTTTTTTGGTTGTTGTGACTCCTTCGTTCTGTGTGGGTCCACGGGAACCCAATTAGTTGTATTGCTGGCCTGGGGCCACCAAGGCCCTCTTCTCCCCTGCTGCCTCCAAGCAGTTTCATCCAAAATGCACAGCTGCAGCTTTCTGCCAGCTCCTGCTCTGTGTGCTCAGCAGCTCCAGCCTGGAAATGGCTGGGATTTGAAACGGTCAGAGGGGTTTTTTCTTTCTCTCATCATGGCTTCTCCCACCTTCATGTACTCCGTAGGTCTCTCCTCCTCTTCCCCTGAGCTCTAGCGGCCCCAGCTTTGCTGTCATTGCTTTTTTGTAGTTGTAAATTGGTTGATTTGTGGGAGAGAGTGACACGGGGGACCATGTATTCCACTATCTTGAAAGCTCTCCCCGATAAATTAAAATTAAAAAAAAAAAAAAGAAAAAAAGTTTAGGTCTTTTCTTCTTTCTTAGAGCTGGAGCGTGCCTGAAATTCACCTTATGGCATGTCAGTAGGGAAAGAAAATTAAAATCTTGAGCTAGGGCAGGTCAGAGTACTGAGAAGATTTCTATGATCTGATGATCCCTTGGTTACGGGGGAGCCTTTGGTGCACAATTCCGTTTGGGAGAGAACTGAACAAATTCACTGTCTGGTTCTATAATAGACCTAAAGTATTTAAGTGAAAAACTAAAGTCTCAATTCTTTTTAGGTACAATGGTGGCTTTTGCAGTTAGCTCAGGAACTAGAGGAGAGACTGACCAAAGACCAAAACGATGTAAGATTTTTTCTTTATTCCTGGGGTGGGTTTTTTAGGATTAAATACCAACTGCTTCTTACTTTATAGAGTAGGAACAAAGATAGAAAAAGGTATCAACCTAGGATATTTTAAGAAATCTTTTATGTTCTTCTAATATAGGCCCATAAAACTGAACATGATCTTTGAAAGCCTGTATCTGTGAACGTAAGACCTAGCTCTACCCCCCTCTCATTACCATTTGCCTCTACTGTTTTGGATTTTCTTATGTAACTCCTCCTGCAACCCTGACTGTATAGTGGCCCTTCATCAGAGTGCATAGCCATTGAGCATGACACTGAGAGATTGGACTTTAAATTTTTGGACTTAAACATAGTGCATGTGACAAAGGAGTAGAGTAGAGGCAGTTTTAAAGACAGAGTATTACGTCAAACATTAGTTACCTGACAATGACTAATTTCTTTCTTCTCCTTTTTATTTATTTTATTTTATTCTTATTTTTTTTCCTTTTTTGTCTTTTTTCGTGACCGGCAACGGATTGCAACCCTCGGTGTCGCGCCCGTACCGGGCCGGGACCAGCAACGGGATCGCAACCCTCGGTGTTGCACCTGCACCTCGCTCAGCCAGTGAGNGGGTTGAGATCCCCTTACCGGTCATCTTTTAAAAAAAAAAAAAAAAGTGTACAGTTCAGTGGTTTAAGTGTATTCAGAATTGTAGAGTTATTCTACAATCAGTTTTAGAACATGCTCATCACCCCAAAAAGAAATCATGTACTCATTGGTAGTCACTCCCTGTTTTTCCCCTACCCACCCCAGCCCTAGGCAGCCACTAGTGTGCCTTCTGTTTCTATGGACTTACTTTTCTGGACATTTCATATAAATAGAATCATGCAGTATGTGGCCTTTTGTGACTGGCTTGAAATCTTTCACTTAACATAATGTTTTCAAGATTCACCCATACTGTAGCATGTATCAGTACTTCATTCCTTTTTATGACTGAATAATATTCTATTGTATGGATATACCACATTTTGTTTACCCATTCATCAGTGAGTGGACATTTGAGTTGTTTCCACTTTTTGGCTATTATAAATAATGCTGCTAGGAATATTCATGTATACATTTTTGTGTAGATATATATCTTCAATTCTCTTAGGTATATACCTAGGAGTATAATTGCGGGTCATATGGTAACTCCATGTTTAGCATTTTGAGGAACTGCCACACTGTTTTCCACAGTGATTGCATTATATACCTACTGGCAGTGTAAGTGGGTTCTAACTTTTCCACATCCTTGTCATTGTCTTTTTAAATTTTAGCCATACTAGTGAGTGTGAAGCATGTTATTATGGTTTTGAGTTGCATTTTCTTTTTTGGCGGCTGGCAGGTATGGGGATCCAAACCCTTGACCTTGGTGTTATCAGCACCACACTAATCAAGTGAGCTAACCAGCCAGCCTTTGAGTTGCATTTTCTTTTTTTTCCTTTTTGTCTTTTTTCGTGACCGGTAACAGGATCGCAACCCTCAGTGTCGCAACCGTACCGCGACCGGCAACGGGATCGCAACCCTTGGTGTCGCGCCCAACCAGTGAGCGGACTGGTCTCTATATGGGATCTGAACCCTCGGCGGGAGCGCCGCCACAC